GAGCACTTGATGAAGTCTCTATCGCACATGGGAGGAGTCAGAATTTCGAAGAGGCAAGCCCTGGAAATTTTCCGGAACGGACGCGGCAAGCAATTCAGCATCTACCGCGAAAGAGTTTTTGATGAAGTCGCGAAGAAGTGGCTCTTGATCTACAGGGTCACGAAAGATTGCGGAAATGTCGCATACAAAGACTTCTTCGAGAAGGTCGCTGTTCCTGAAGTGAAGGAAAGGAACGAGATCTTTGGATTCTCCCGTGCGTCAGCCGAGAAAACTGGGGACATCATTGAGTTCTGGCTTGGTGTCTTGGATGTGGCAAATATGGCCAAAGGAGTTGTGGATGTTTTCAATGCCAGTGTCGATCCTGCTGAGTACCTCAACGGATTGGAAAAGGCATTGGCTCAATTCACATCGACCTCCAGAACCACAAGCACCATCAATGACAAGAGACGGGGATCATTCGACTGCACCCTGCAGACCGCAGAAGCCGAAAGGGTCATGAAGATCATCCACGCAATCCCCGGATATGAATCGCTGGCCAACTTCTGCTGCCTCACAGAGTGGGAGAAGGATCAGGTATTCTCTCATTATCGAAGAAAGAACAACATCACAGGGGATGACGCCAGCATGGGCGCTGATGCCGATGCCAAGCCAGGTGACGAGTCGTCGGCTCACCCTGGGGAGGAGGAAGCTGATGAGCCAGCAAATGATCCCACTGATGTAGTCAGGGACTCAGAGATTTCCGGAAAACAACAACTTTTGGATGCGTTGGGAAAACTCTTTACCGTCTCTGAGGATGTCAATGTGTGCTTGTATTGTGGTAGCACCAAACATGGTCATCTTGAATGTGAACATGAGAAGAAGGATGAAGTCAGAAAGGTGCTAAAGGCCGTCCGAGCGTCGCTCGAGGCTGATAGTCCCACATCTGATGACGTCGATATGGAGCCTCCTGAGCACAAGAAGGACGGATCAGGTGCTACTGAAGGGTCGGGGCAAACGGATGAACCTACAAAACCGAGGTTTAGTGAACACCAATGGTACGACAGCATCAGGACTATGTCCGAAGTCGGTGACCTCGATGAGTATGGTAGGTTCTGCATTGAAGGACGTGATGTTACAAAGCTGGGACCACAGAACGTTGTTGACCTCAACGAAGTGATCCGAGACGCTATTGTCAGAGGAGGAGGTGACACTTGGTCAGTGCCAGAATTCATGGCAAGCTACTCTGACAACAACATCAGGAAGCCCTTCTACAAGCGAGTCGAGGCGCCGCAAGATGGTTTCTTGAAAATCATCCCTACGACGGGGGCCCATTTCTTCAACTGCTTTTACTTTGGCGGTGTGGAATATGCGGCCAACTACCGCTTCGAAACTGGCAACCGGCTCGACACCTACGAGGACAAGGTGAGTACCTCGCTGAATAGAATCCTGCGGCACAATGTGGGAAAGGTATCGGAATCGCAGAGTTTGTTCTGTGATGACGCCGGCTGGGTGCCCATCGAGGAAGTGCTCAAATGTGAGTCCATCTGGAGACATGAGCACGCACGCTGGCCACACGTATTCCTTGCCCCAAAAGGAAGAGCAAATGATCAGAGTGCATGGAATGTCCATGAGGCGAACTACCGCATGACACTGCTCTTCAAGATCATGTTCCACTGTGCCCGGTACGGACGTCGTGTGCGTGAACAAGTCTTGGCATTTGGGATCAACAAGGACATTGATCGCAGCAGCCTGACGTGCATTGACAACAAAGTCGAAGCGGACACGCACATCCCTGATGAAGGTCTACTGCTCTACCCAGTGGCGGTACGTGCTCCAACGGGGCACAAAGAAGGATCTTCAAGAGACGACGTCTCATTGTTGTCCTCGTTACTTTCGCATCCAATCGCACCCAACACCATTATGTCATTACCGGTCTGCTTTCACATCACCAAGAAGACCAACCTCCGAAGCATTTGGAGGCAGGGATTAATTCCGGGAGGTCTTGGAGAAGGTCATCGGATGTTCACGTTCTTCAACCCGTATGTGCCATGGGATCACAGATCATGGACCATCACGAAGAGCGTTGATACGCGAAAGGGGGACTACATCTGCTTGTTCATCCCGACCGAGACCTTGATGGTGGAATATGGCGGTCGACTGACTGACTCGGGACAGATCGTTTCACCAAAGATCATCCCGTTCTCGGCAATCAAAGGAGGATGGATTCAGGACCCCAAGGACCAAAACAATAAGACATGGCTCCGGTTGTTCGTCCCGTCGGGCGACGACCAGGTAGTCCGGTCTGGAACTATCAAATCAAGAACGGTAGCCACCAAGGAGTCCATCCTGAGAGTTGCAAGTCAATGCATCGACGCCGAAGACCAACCGTTTGACGAAACCGCCATGGATGCCATGAACATCGTCAACCAGTTCAAGAACAACCTCATCGAGCCTGGCGGACAAGAGCAATACCTGGCCCGCATCAAGCTGATCGACTACATAGTCGAACGCAAAAGGGTGCAAACTTCAGGTTGCCGTCATTGTCCTCACTGTCTAAACGAGACGCCGACAAAGCTAGCAGTGTGTCTAGTTTGCTGGACGGAACTTGAAAGTTGTGGAATTCGTCCATATCGGCTACAAGCTCCTGAAGACGATGAAGATGAGGCCACGAAGAAAGAGCTCGACGAAGAGGTTCGTCGACAAGAAGAATCGTTGTTCAAGGATACAGTCCATCAAGCACAAGAAAACGTATCCGAATCCAACGACTACGGCTTCAATCCTGACGAGGTCGACTACAATGAAGGCGATGATGAGGAAATGGATCAGGAGGAGGAAACTCAACAGGAAGACGACGAAATCGTCGAAGAAGAAGACGACGATGAAATGGACGTCGAACCTGAAAATGAACCTTCTTCCAAACTACCAGCATGGACTAAGAATCTTGAGAGCGGAAGCAAGGGTATGCCAGAAGACGGACTTATCAACAATGATGTCTCCGAGGCCGCGGCTCACTTGTACGACAATGCCGTCATGTCAAAGGTCATCACAATGTTCTGGCTCTACTATAAACAGAGAGTCACTCTGACCCCAGAGGAGTACTATGAGATGATGACGGAAACCAAGCGAGTCCGGCTGGATCTGGACGACTTCTGCCCCTACACAGGCGAAGACCAGGATGGCAACCTCAAACGACCGACAGAGCTGGAGTTGGACGAACTCTTTCAGGAGAAAGGGAAGAGGAACTCATGGTCAGAGGGAGAGAAGATGTACTCAGGACGACCAAGAAACATGATGATGCCTGTCATCAAGACTTTAGAGGTCTATGAAAAGATGATGGAATTTCTGGTACGCGCCGGGTACACTCCCGAGTCATTAGGTTTCCTCATGCCAATGAACCGAATGCAGGCTGATGCCCAAGGGAAACAGGAGATGAGAGTGACCATCAGCAATTTTCTTCGACGACTGCTTAAAGGAACCTTTCCAGAACACGAATCATACACCTTCTTTCGTTCCGGGAGCCACGGCTTCCCCAACTGCATCGAACTCCCAGCTTTCTCGGTATACCTGAGTCTGAGAGAAAAGGAACAGAGAGTGGAACTACTCTTTGCTGCCCAACAATGCGGCATTCCGTTACCTCAAAACTTTGTCAGCAAGATGGCTTATGCTATTCAACTGGCTGAGGCAGAGGCGCAGAGGGGAAAGACCGAGATGAAAATGAAGATGGCTCCAACCCTTGGTGACGAAGTGGTGAGTGAGGTATTCAAAGCAGTCGGACATAGTGCCGCTTCCAAGTTTGCAACCGCGGACGCGAAAGCCAAATCGTCAGCACAACCTTCACAGAAACCTGAAGGCACTGGTTCAGCATCATCCTCATCGGCAAGCGCACCAAAGGCCAAGGCTATGCCGAGATCCCATGAACCATCAAAAGCACCACCTGCGAAGCCTTCATCGCCGAAAGCTGCTCCGAAACGTGCGGCAGGATGGGAGAAATCTCCAACAACACCTCAATGGAAGAAAGTCCGCCGTGAGCAGTAAACCAATTACCTCTGTCCATCAAAATGATCACTGGACTATAAGATGTGTATCGTCTTTGTGAACAGATGATCAGGAAAAGACCAACTGAGTGGACTCTGAGCGAGGCAGTAGACTAATTCGCTTAGGTCCAAAACTTTCGATATTCCCAATCTGCACGAAATTCTGCACAGTGCACGTGAATTCGTTAGTTAGCATTGTAAACCTTTGGTAGCGAAGCGATCCATTTCTCCCGTCGGGTGAGTGGCATGCCTAGCCAACGTAGAAGAGTAGATGTTAGCTAGCAATAATTCGCGCTGTACAGCTTGATGAAGCGCCGGTGCATCGACTGCCATAGAGTAGGCGAACCCGGAACCATTATTCCCGTCGGGTATGTGGGAAAGGGGGAGCCGAATGGCAAGTTCTATGTACATAGGCGTAATTCAAGTAGCAGAAATGATCTAATTCAAAGTTCCCTCTCTCGTGTCCGTGGTTCGAAGAATACCACGGGCATGGGGGGCGTCAAAGGGAACACAGCGGTAGCACATGTAACAATTGACAATGTTACGGCCCTTTGTGGCTCAAGCGCCCGCAAGAGGAAAACGGCCGCGCGCTGACCGCAATGACTGGGTAAGGTTCGGTAACAACCAGCACATAAGGTACTACCATTCGACTACATCCGGAACAAGGATAAGATTGTTCACATATAATATATATATATTATATATATATATTATATATATATAATGTGTCGGAACCGGGGAATACCCTCTATCTACATAGCCATTTCCATGGCCAAACTGTTGATTAACAGTGGACCTATCTTGAATATCATTGCTATCATCATCATTATTCTTATCAGTATCATTGTTACTATGTGTCATTATTATTTTTGGTGTGTATATATATATATTGTTGTTACTACATATTATCATCATGAGGATTCTTACTAGGATGATTACCCAGCATAGACCCCAACATTTGCTTCGGAACACCATCAGAATGCCGAGGTATCACTTTGACGCGCAGCAGGGCACGCGCTGTACATAGCTGCCATTCACAGATCATCACTGAACGGTTCCTATTTGCAGGATCCCACTAATCCCTTTGTGATGAAAATAAGATATTATTTTTGCCTGGTTAGTCCCCATAGATATGTATATATATAATTTATATATATAATTGATATATAATTTATTTATGTTTATTTAATATGTAGATATTTCTATGGGGTTCTCACATATATGAGATGTGCTTGCTCCCAGTTCCCAGTTCCAACGGGATGATCTTGATGATCTGCGAGATTCCAGCCAGAAGACAAACGGGAAAATCTGACCGTGTCCAGACCGTGGCCATGGGCCCTTTTTCGATTTGAAGAACGGGATTCATACAAGAGTTGACTCAGGAATTTAAGCGAATTTGCGAAACCCCAAAACCCCCAGAAAATAACATCCCAAAACTATATTAATGGAAAACCAACCAGAAAATTGCTAGATCAATCTATATCATTTGTCTACCAACGAGCGCAATTGTGTACAGAACCAATAGTATCCGTTGTATTTCACATTGCATCTTGAAAGCAGGTCTAGTATAGGTAGCTACTTGACAAGAAGGGAGCAAATGGAGCCCTCCGCGAGACTAATCAGACGTGGGCTTTGGTACCCTTTTGTCCAGCTTATATCTTCAATTCGCGGAATTTGCCGAAAATCACCATTTTCAATGGGGAAATCCACTATAAATGGCAATTTTCAATAGCTATGTTAGTCTACCAGAGGGTAAGTACTATGCTTCGCATCTTGATTGCCATTCAAATCTTCCAAAACCTTTGTGCTCTAACCTTTGCATCCACTGATGGGCCGGAGGTGGGCGGCCAGATTTTCGATTCGGCAGCCATTACGAACTCGGAGGAAACATTTCGTCAGCCCTTGGTTGAGACGAAAACAGCAATTAACACCTTTGCTGTATCACATATTCAGACATCTGGTTGGTGGCTTGGAACATGAATTTTATGACTTTCCATTCAGTTGGGTATGTCATTTCATCCCAACTGACGAACTCCATCATTTTTCAGAGGGTAGGGCTCAACCACCAGCCAGACATGTGTTCATTGGTTGTTAGAAATTGAAATTTGAGATGGAGACCCAAACGATGGGTTATGAAGATGAAAAGACTGGGACGAGAGGAAAGATTACTGCGAACAGGAAGTGTGGAACAGTATGTCTCCAAATTTTGACTCAATGCGTCGGCTGGCCAAATGCCAACAAAATGATAGAACATGATACCCGGCCTGGTAAACTAACAGTTTGCTATTGAAAATGGCCATAGAAATACTGGATCTTCCCTGTAAAAATGGCGATTTTCTTTCCAGCTTGCTATGTTAGTCATTACCAGGCCGGGTATACAAAATGCAGGTGTGATTCGTTCGGATTCAGAAATGTGGTATGAATCAGTCATGAGGATTCAACCTGGCTGAATTTGGCTAGTCCACCAGTCTGGGGAAGTTTGGTATAGAAGAAATTGTAGCAGGACATGGAATAAACGACTGAGTAGCTAGATCATCAAGCGACTCCTCAGTGTCAACATTGCTGGCAAGCTGTGGTTACTGAAAGATGTTTCAGTCGGAGCTGAGGCATCTAGAACATCTACAACCTTAGATACCCTGGGAATTGGGGCTTATGATTTTTCTTCAGTACCAGTTATAACATGTTATAACCATCTACCATCTGGTTATGACTAACATAGCCATGGAAAGATCCACCATGCTATTCATAGGTAAACCATCTATTTCTATGGGCCATTTTCCATGGCTAAGTTAAATAACCAGAGGGTAACCCTGGCATCTACAATCTATAACTTATCTATAACCTTGGATACCCTGGGTTATCTGGTTGGTGGTTTGGAACATGAATTTTATTTTTCCACATATTGAGAATGTCATCATCCCAACGGACTTTCATATTTTTCAGAGGGGTAGGTATACCACCAACCAGAAAATGTGGGGGATGATTATATAGCATGTCCCTATATTTCCCCATTATAAACCACCAACCAGTTATGAATTTTTGGGTTATGAAAGTCTCAGTCGATCTCAGTCGCAAAAATTCCTCCCGTTTTCGTCGTGGCTTTCATGCTGAATCTATGCGCCGAGCGGCAATTCATCGATGGCAGGAGGGGGCGCCGCGGGGCACGCGAAGAGAATCCATGGATAGCAGATTGTTCTTGAAGCAGATTTGGAACCCTTTGATGGTTAATGATGATTAATGATGGTTGATGGTGGTTAATGATGGTTAATGATGGTCAATGATGGTTAATGATGGTTGATGATGGTTAATGATGGTTGATGATGGTTAATGATGGTTGATGATGGCTAAGTATGGTTAATGTTGCCGTGGTTACATCATGTTGTTCCTTTATTTCTTTCTATTTGAATCCATCTTTCTATCTATCTATCTATCTATCTAAAAATCAATCTATGATCCACTATCCAGAGTCATCATGGCTGCCTATTGGTCACCTCGCTAAGAAGCACCTTGATGTGGCTTAGAAGAATGGCTCCAACCCCGGCCAGCAAATCTCCTGACAGACCCCTGGCAGAATGGATTTTTAGTTTGACCATGTCTGGCCGTTTGACCCCATCAACGGATGCGACAACTGGTTGGTGGTTTGGAACGTGTCAGTTATTTTCCCCAATAGTTGGGATATGTTGGGATGATGATCCAATCTGACAAAAAATTCTGCAGAGGGGTAGGTATACCACCTTTTTTTGCTCAAAGATGGATCTGAAAGAGATCGGTCGCCTCCTTCCCGTTGCCATTCCGCGATGGTTTTAATGGGACGACTGCATGACGCCAGCTCTTCTGGTGGACGTGTGTCCAACTATGTCCAACGAAACAAAGCAGAGAAGCAAAATATGATGGAAATGTTGGTGTCCAGAAATAGGATAGCAGATGCTGACTGTCCAAAGCTATGGTGGTCCAAGTATATCCTTAATTTTTTTGGGGATCCTTTAAGGATCCCTTCAGAAATGCAGATGGAGTATGCCACAAATTTGGGGCATCCTACAAATGTTCATCAGTTCGGGGGCTTGACCTCCTGAATAGGATTGATTTGTCTACCGATTTGTCGACTGCCAAGCCGAGGGCAGGGCCTTACCCAACATGAAAAATCCTGGAAGGACTGGGGCCCGACATGGCCCGACGTTTCATATGGAAAGTATACACTATCCTAAGGTTCGCAAGGCCTAATTAAGCAGAATGAAGATGCTAGTGACTAATTTCTTACTGCTTGACTTTGGCCCCTACTACGCCTACTATATCCTGACACAGTTGTCAGGAAGTATACTTCTGACATCTGACAATTGGCACCCCATGACTAACTCCAAGATGAAAAAACATCAAAAAGCGGATCTCCACTCACTCCACTCTTCCTGGTCCCGTGACTAGGAAGAGTGGCCTAGGAAGAGCCGCTGGGGCACCGAATGAGGTATTTCGTTCAGGTCGGTTGCCGAAATCCACGTTTGACGTCGGGGCATTTGAAGACTTCTCCCACTTGCAGTGAAGATGTGGATTGGAGTTGTGGCTTGACATCCGCATTCACTTGAATATTCTGAATAACTGACTACAGCAACTGAACAGAATTCAAAAGAAGCCAATTTTCAGAAGCAACGACTGGGTCAGCACTGGTGGTTTTTTGACATTTTCAGTCTGGCCACTGTGAGAGGGACGACCAGTAGATGCCCAAAATCTCGGCACTGGAACCTCGAATCTGCGGGATCTGTCACCAGGATTTGTTGCTGACCCCGGTCAGGTCATAAGGCTTCAAGGTTTCCTCATCGGATGAATTCGTCTGATTTCTCGGAGCTTATCTACCACCAAACCAATGGCTTTTTTGAGGGGAGTCCAATAGAAAAGCGCCATCAGGAGGTTGATTAAAGGAGGCAATTCACACAAAACCTTGGTTTGGCGTGCATACCAAAATTGCCATTCTAATTTTCACAAAGAATGATAGGCAAATCATATAGGGCTTCCAAATTTTGAGATAAACTATTTGTATAGACTATGTCTGGATTTTCTAGATTTTCTAGTTCCTACAAGTCGTCCCCTTTCAGCACCGAAAAAAGAATCCACAAGTTGTCCGTTGCCCTTGGGGCAGATTCCAGGCTCCCTAGGGTTGCGACAAACACCCTGCGCACCAAAAAAGGTCCAGCCTACTTTAGCGGCTGCGGAAAGATGGGTACCTTCTAAATGAGAGGTTCAGCAAATGTGGGGACTTCGCTTAGTATTAAACCATGACTGGTTGGTGGTTTTGAACATGAATTTGATGTTTCCATTCAGTTGGGAATGTCATATTCCATGTCATCATCCCAACTGACGATTCATCATATTTTTCAGAGGTGTAGGTTGAAACCACCAAACAGCTATTATTATTCACCATCATTAACCATCATTAACCATGGGAAATCCCACTGGATGTGGATGTTAAACCCATGAAAGGTGGGCCGTATGTCGACCTTGGAACACCTACGTGTGCTGCTGTAGTCGATTTCCGAACCCGAGACGTCAGCTGGATGGCGAAGCTCGAGTTGCCAGGCTGAAACATATCTAGGAGATGTTTCTATATAGTTCCATGTTTGCCAAGTTACATAATCATAATAATAATAATAAAATAATATATATATATATATTAAAAAAGAAAAACATGAACCTATAGAAAACATAGATTTGCCAAGTCACATAGACATACATCCTAAAGCATTAATATATGTTTTCTAAGATCTATATGTATCTATATGTTGTTAATTCCAAATTACTACAATGTTAACATGTGTTTGCCAAGTTACCGACATGTTCACCGATCTTCCTTTGAGCTGAGCTGCGAGCCCGGGCAGCTGCAGGAAGCAGCTTCAAAACTTTGAAGAAAAAGCCAGCAGGGGGCCTCAGATGATGACATGATCAAAACGATGCCAAACCATGTATATTATATGAATAAAAAATATTATATGTACTATATATATTATGTATACTTATGTATTATATATATATATTATGTATACTGTATACTTTATTGATTAATCGCAGTTCATAAATCCATGTATATATATATATATACACATCATGGAATATGGAATGTCATCCCAACTGGCGATCATATTTTTCAGAAGGGTCACGAGGTCATCCGGCCGCCTTGTGGCTCTGCAATATTCCCAGCAATAAACAATAATATTTTTCAGAGGCATAGGTATACCACCAACCAGATATGGTGAGCCAAGCTGCTACTAAGAGTTTGCAGACCATGTGGTAGACATGTGGTTTTGTCACCAAGAATCCGGGCTGAAGGAACTGAGATTGGAAAGCTGGAAAGCAACGCCAAGCGGGAACATGATTTTTCCACCCTATATCCGACCTAGGGGACCTGGGTAGGGGGATTGAGCCAACAAGAAGTGGAGCGATTTACAAAAAGGGATGGGATGAACAACCACGAAAACAGGGATTCCAAGTGACGCGACAAAGTTGTGAGGATCTGGCTTTTTTTTCTGGGAAGCCACTAAGCATGCGGGCAAACTGCACTCAGATGCATTCATAACGATCTCACTATAGATGATGACTAGTAAGACAAATCCTCTGCAAAATGGTTACATTTCAACTTACAATAATGAAGTGTGATATTCTTTCCAACTACACCCGTCACAAGTATGCTGAAAAATTGTGTTTTACCCTGTTACTCCATAGCATTTTTAGTGCTTTAGCATTTTTGCTGGTGGTATTTTAATCGGGTCAATCGGCAGATGATTTTGCCGCAACCACGTTGGAAGCGATTAACTATATCCAATTGATCCCACTAAATCACCATGTTTGACCAGATTGTGCTAGTGCAATTATTGATAATGTCTACCTTCATAAATTCTGAACCCAACCTTTTGGTTGGTGATTCTGAATCCCAACTGTTGTTCCTAAAATTTGTTCGTGAACTTCACGAACTTCGATGCGTATTCCACAAAAAAAAAGAACCATGATATTGATATTGTATCACCAGGAAATTGCTAACTCCAGATTGCTAAAAATCTTGGGACGAATCCGTGGTCCACCTCCGTTGGTGCTTGCGTTGATTGAAAGCCTTCGGGGTTTCTTCGTCCTCCTTTTTTAGATGCTGAGAGCTGATCAGCAAAATCTATGGTTACTATGTGGGGATAACCATTAATCTGTGGTGGATAGTATATATATATACCATCTATATACATATATTACCATTAAATATATGAATAACCATACAATTTTGGGAATAACCATATATATATAACCAAAACCATATATATATATACCCTCTGGTTATGACTAACATAGCCATGGAAAGATCCACCATGCATTTTTAATAGGTAAACCATCTATTTCTATGGACCATTTTCCATGGCTATATTAAATAACCAGAGGGTATATATAATTGATATGGTTAGCTACTGGTCATATAGGTGTTAGATTGATTATATAACCATGATTAACCATCAATCAAAAGACACGAAATCGAAGTGAGGCTCCCCACTTCTTGATGTGCGTCAACTTAGGGGCCTCTCCAGATACCCTCTGGTTATGTCAACAGTTTGCTATTGAAAATGACCCAGTCGAAATAGTGGATTTTCCCATTGAAAATGGTGATTTTCCAGCTCGCTATGTTAATTTACCAGAGGGTATGAGTTATTGCATTATCCAGATGCTAGTTCTTGATTGACTATCTAGTCAATGATAGTCCATTGGTTAGTTGAATGATAATGTTGAACGATAAGAAATGATAGTTAATGATAGTCAATCTTGATTAACTAAGCAATGGACCACCATTGATTAAGCATTTGTTTAACTATCATTGCATATCATTGCCAAGTATTTGCTATACTAGCACTTCAATAATTGTTAAATAAACTATCAATTAACAATTTAACTATCATTGACCGATGAGAATTTGAGAGTTTTATTAACTATCATTAATTACTGGTTTATATGTTGATCATGGTAATTAGGCTCTTGGATTAATATGAATTATCTTAGAACATCACTATGATTATATCATGCATGGTTAATTAAATGATTATTGATGAATAACAGTCATCATCCGAATAAAGGTAACAAATATGCTGAGACCGCCAAGGGGTTTGGACAATGTTGATGATTAACTATTGATGAATAGCTATTGAAAATTCACTATATATTGATGATCAACTATTGATGATTAACTATTAACTATTGCATGCTGATTAATTAATGAACACTTGGACTTTAAGATTTTCGAAGATCCAAGTGCTCATATTCCCATTTTTACGCTGACGGACGGTGACAGCGAGGTACAGAACTGGCTGCGATTCATGAAGAACTCGACCGTGCGATGAAGGCCGGAACAAAGATGGCTGGAAGACGGAAGATTTCGACCATGAAAAATGATGCATTTGGGATGAAATAATGGGAAATCTGCTGGATATCAAGCATAAAAAGGACGAAACATGGTGATTCACAATGAAAAAATAGGTAGTTCACTAAGAAACTTCGTAGTTTGAAGCAATGAACATGGTTCTTTAACCGGGAATAGCGGGGATCGAACATATCTAACCAATAACTTCAATTGCAGTCGAGATGAGTTTTTTTTCACCAAGAAAGTGTACTTAATCAACACAAGAATGGCGTTGAACCTCTATAGTGAACAAACATGTCTGGACAGGAAGTCTTTAGGTTTTATGTTTGATGGGCAAACAATCTATGGAAAGGCACAAATGGAAAGTTTTCCATGCCAATTTCTACGGAGCTGCTACGTTCATGACGCTTCGTAGCCACGATATGGTCATTGAAACAACCAAAATCGATGGGAATTTCAGGATCCAATACATGGAGGTACGTTAGTACAATTTTTCAGACATTTTGAGGGGATATTCCCTGAAATTTAGGCCTCAAAAATATGCATTACATATGGTAGGTACCTTTAATTTAGGTTCCTGAAATGGCCACTGACCAAAAATGTTTTTTCTCAATGAATACTGCAATAAACAAGGCAAGAAATTTAAGCAACAAGAGTATATATATATAATAGTTATATACAAAAATGATCAAAAATGTGCTGATGTGGGATGTAACTATTCAACATGTTCAAATCAACAACAGCTGCACTTTAAGCAATTTTCCACCAACAGCCGAGTTGGGCATAACCATCAGCCGCAGAAAGAAAAAAAAACTCCAAAAGATGCCCATGATAGTAATCAGCAACTGACGTGGGGTTGGTGAGATCTCTATAAAAAGGGTTGTACCCTCTGGTAATTTAACATAGCTATTGAAAATTGCCATTTATAGTGGATTTACCCATTAAAAATTGGGATTTTCCATAGTAATGTTAGTTTACTGGAGGGTAAGGATAGAGTAATCATCAACCGCCATTCTAAGAATCTCAAGTCAATTCCCTGCCAGAGTAACAGGGCATATTATATAATACCTTCCTACACCCTCTGTTTGTACCAATAGAAATAGCGTTTTATCCTATAATTTGGTACGTCAACCATGTTTTCGATATTCGGGGGATCTAGGTTGTGATTAATCGTCATCAACCCTATATTATAGATTTATAGGATATTAATGCCGTGTGACTAATCTTTGAAGTATATCAAAGTAGTATATGATCATATACATGAATAGTATATGATCATAATATACATATATATATATATGTACTATATGTGTAATAGACATATTTGGATATTATTGTTATATATATATATATGGTTGGTGGTTTATTTTGGGAATCATCATCCCAACTGATCCCGAACATCCAAACGGCCCTGTTGCTGTTCCAGGCACAGCAGAGCGCCGCGCTTCTGTCCACTGCGGCTCAGAGGACAGTTGTGGCTTTGGACATGGAGAGGATGTGCAGAGTTTTCGTATTTTCCATAGGGAAAATATATGGGAAATGATTGAAATGGGTGGTTGAAAAAACATGACTTGGCTTTTTTCCATGATATATGGGATGTCATCCAACCAAATTGACGAACTCATATTTTTCAGAGGGGTAGGTTTAAACCACCAACCAGTCATTATCCAATGGATTTAGGGCTACACTATTTTCAGACCAACCCAAATAGCTAGCCATTCATCATCCCATAGACAGTCAGCCTGCCGGTCCATGAGCCATTTTTCTGGGCACGGCGTAGCATTTGGATGTGTGTGTGTTGTTGTATGTTGTTGTCGACGGCCGAAGCTTTCAGTGAGGAAGGTTGATCAGATGAGCTTCACCACCACATCCTTTGTATTTCCTTTGCGTGCATACAATGCACACTAATGACACTAATGTTGCTGCTGAAATACCACATGTTAAAAAAAATGAAAAAATGTGTCCTACGCAGTGATACTCCGGTTTGAAAAATATTTGGTGAAATGGCATGCGTTTCCACTTATTGCAGGTGAAATACAACAGTTGTGTTGCTTAGATGTGTTTTTCCCACGTTACCTCAGCCGAAATATACTAAGCGCGGCAGCTGATTTGTGGATCCGTAGCTATTCTGGTATTCCATGCTGGGTCGCCATAATCCCACCTTTGGAAAATCTTCAAGAACCCATGAATTTTTGTGGTTCAAAATAACAATCATTTCCGATTTTCCTTGGCCCTCCGGTGTCATCAAACATGGCCCTAGTTCATTGATGTTCCCTCAGTAGATGCCATCTTTTTCTACGCATCTTCCGAAGAAGTCTCACAAGATCTGGCTGAATTAGTGATAATACTTCACTCACCTAAAAATAGCTGCTAATTGTCCAAAAATAGCCAACATAGCTTTAAAAAAACACCTCTTAAAACTGATAAAAAAAGACTTCTGGTTGGTGGGTTCAAACATTTTTGATGTTCCATTTCATATATGGGGATGTCATCCTTCCCATTGACTTTCACTCCATCATTTTTCAAGATGGTGAAATTGCACCACCAACCAGATATTATTATTAACCATCACTAACCATCACTAACCATCATTAACCATCATTAACCATCATTAACCATTATTAACCATCATTAACCATCATTAACCATCATTCACCATCACTAACCATCACTAACCATCACTAACCACCATTAACCATCATTAACCATCATTAACCATCATTAACCATCATTAACCATCATTAACCATCATTAACCATCATTAACCATCATTAACCATCATTAACCATCATTAACCATCATTAACCATCATTAACCATCATCAACCATCATTAACCATCATCAACCATCATTAACCATCATTACTGTAACCATCATTAACCATCACTAACCATCACTAACCATCACTAACCATCATTAACCATCATTAACCATCATTAACCATCATTAACCATCACTAACCATCATTAACCATCATTAACCATCATTAACCATCACTAACCATCACTAACCATCACTAACCATCATTAACCATCACTAACCATCATTAACCATCATAACCATCATTAACCATTATTAACCATCATTAACCATCATTAACCATCATTAACCATCACTAACCATCACTAACCATCACTAACCATCATTAACCATCACTAACCATCATTAACCATCATAACCATCATTAACCATTATTAACCATCATTAACCATCATTAACCATCATTAACCATCACTAACCATCACTAACCATCACTAACCATCATTAACCATCATCAACCATCACTAACCATCACTAACCATCATTAACCATCATTAACCATCACTAACCATCACTAACCATCATTAACCATCATTAACCATCATTAACCATCATTAACCATCATTAACCATCATTAACCATCATTAACCATCATCAACCATCATCAACCATCATCAACCATCATCATTAACCATCACCATAACCATCATTAACCATCATTAACCATCACTAACCATCACTAACCATCATTAACCATTAACCATCATTAACCATCATTAACCATCACTAACCATTAACCATCATTAACCATCATTAACCATCATTAACCATCATCATTAACCATCATTAACCATCATTAACCATCATCATCATTAACCATCATTAACCATCATTAACCATCATTAACCATCATTCATGAACCATCATTAACCATCATTAACCATCATTAACCATCATTATCCATTATTAACCATCATTAACCATCATTAACCATCACTAACCATCACTAACCATCATTAACCATCATTAACCATCATTAACCATCACTAACCATCACTAACCCTCACTAACCGTCACTAACCATCACTAACCATCATTAACCATCATTAAGCATCATTAACCATCATTAACCATCATTAACCATCATTAATCATCATTAACCATCATTAACCATCATTAACCATCATTAACCATCATTAACCATCATTAACCATCATTAGCCATCATTAACCATCATTAACCATCACTAACCATCGCTAACCATCACTAACCATCACTAACCATCACTAACCATCATTAACCATCATTAACCATCATTAACCATCATTAACCATCATTAACCATTATTAATCATTATTAATCATGGAATTCCCCATGGAATTAGCCACCAGGGAGACCCATCTGATAGCCACCAGGAATCTTTCCACCTTCACGGAATCCTTGAATGCCATCAGCGAGGTGGGCGATGAGGGCGGAATGGTGGGGATACCCGAAATGTGGAACCCAAAGGGTTCTCTATGAAAAAATAGCCCCAAAAATGCGACTTTAATGAGATGTTAATGGTGGTTTTTCATGGATTTTAACCATATGTTAATGGCATTTGGATGCATTTGGCCTCTCCAATTCACAGTTTGACCCTGAAAGTGGCAAGTTTTTAGTGGAAACTCATCTTTCAAGCCCCGATTGATGGCAGTGTCTACAGTATGTTCAATATCTTGGAGAACATTCAACAATTGCATAAGATTGCCACGTTTTTACATATATATATATATGTATATATATACACGTGTATATATATATATACAGTAATTTTACCCTGGGATGATATGGGGGTATATTTTGTTTTCAGAGGGAATGGCTTAGTAATAATATGGGGATGGATGAATCAACCTACGTTTTTTTCGATATGGAGGGACGAACATTCAGCTAAACCAGCTATAGGGCTGACGGGCTTCCAACTTTGACCAGTGGTTTTTCTGGTTTGGAGCCAAATCCCTTGTTGCTGAAAATTCCCGTGTCATGAAAGGTGGCTGGAAAATTCCCGAACTATCCATGGAGGTACATCGTTGGGAAAATCATGGAACTCAATGGTGGCGTTGTCAATGCCATGGTTTGAGTACCCGGTAGAGCAATGTCCTAAGATGACCTGGATATACCTGGCAGTAGTATCCCTCATTTAATGGAAATCTCCAGGGAAAACCACCAGGGGGACCCCCGGCGAATGCCCAAATCCACTGGTCAATCATCAATCCCCATGAAAGATGGTCGGCTGCCACCTGCGGCTTGAAATCACTATTTTTTCCATGATTTCAGGATTTCAGGTGGTTTCTCACAGATATTTATGGATGCATTTAAGTGTCCCTATATTTCGTTGGATAACTTAGATTTGCTGAAGATGATGTTTATTTCATGTTATCTCCAGGTAAATCTGAGTAAATCCACCAAATTTTGGGCAATTGGGTATATGTGTTGCTCCTCTGTGGTCCCCTTAAGCAAATTGATCAGAATTTTGGACCTTCTCATTTGTCCGCAGATCATTTTCGAATAGGAAAGAACCATAGAATTCCATTTCCCATATGCTCCATGTATGGCCTGGTATATTTACCGCAGCATAACTGGGTGATTTTGTGGCAAATGTTGGGATACATATTGCAGCACCATGGTTCGCACATATGGTTTTTACCCTCTGGTAAACATACAAAAAACTATGGAAAACCACAATTTTTAATGGGAAAACTCACTAGAAATTGCCATGTTCAATAGCTTTTTGTATGTTTACAGGAGGATAACTAGTAGTCAAAGGTCATTTTCCAGCGACGTATCCCAGGTGATGGGATTCGTCTGATCAGAGGATTTCCCCATGCCATGCAGCAATTTCTCATATTTTCGCAGATCTCAATGATCTCGGAGGGTTACAGGATGGTGCCCCCCAGTGATGTGAACGTTGGTTTAGATTCACCCCATGAATACTATAGTTATATCTGCCATAAACCATAGTGAAATGGGAGTTATAAACCAACTTAGCTAACGAACTGGGGCACCACCTTGTAGGAGATTCTCCCATCTCCGCTTTCCCAAGGCCCCAAGGTTTTGATTCTGAACCCTAAACCCATCGGCCCATGGGTCAGGACATCGCTGGGGGAGTGAATCCTAGACATCGCTGGACCGAGTTGCAGGAGGCGATGGTTTTGATCCATCGCTTTCCCCCTGGGGATTTCGTGAAGACGGTGCTGTGATTTCATCCCCAGGATCTTTGTAGAAATATTTAGGGGCATGGATGGTATGAAAATGAATGTTTTAAGACCCAATGAATACACTCAATTCATTTTCGGCGAGTGATAAGACAACATGTCGTGATCTTTTTTGCGGCATCTTTTTTTTTGGGGGATTGCAAGAAGCTAAGTGTAACATACTGTAACTGTTTTTGTTTCATGGGTGTGTCTGTAGTTGGATGGTTTTGTGACAGCAACTTCTGGCTACTCAAGCAGCCGATCATAAGATCTTATTTTGGATGAACTCTGACGCCCCAAAAGATGGAAATGTGATGAACTTGTGAAATCTTCCTAAAGTGCGTGGGATTGCGTATTTATATCATATATACATATACTGTATACTATACATATATATATGTATATATGTATAGTATACAGTATCATACCATGAAAGCCAATTGACGATGGTGTCAGGTGAAGACGAGGACTGCCGCCAAAGCCAAGTTGCTGGTCCAAGCTACGTGAAATCTGGGTGGTTTTTCATGGGAATATACTATGAAAGTCATGGAGGTTGTTCATGGTAGTTTTCTATATTTTACAATTAAAATTCCGTTAAATCCCAAAGAAATATAAAAATTACATGAAATCCCATTAAATCCGATTAAAAATGGGTGGTTTTACTCAGAAATAGTAGGGACTAGGGGGGTTCGAACATGGGAGTAGTATGGGAGTGGTATTGGAATGGTCCCATGAACCAGGGGGTCCCTACTTCCACAAAGAAATTACATGAATATGATATAATATGATATAATATCTAGTTGGTGGTTTGGAACATGAATTTTATTTTTCCATATATTGAGAATGTCATCATCCCAACTGACGAACTCATATTTTTCAGAGGAGTAGGCATACCATGGCATACCACCAACCAGATATCTATAATTATAGTATCCATTATTATTGGAAATCATCTACCAGTAACTATATAGGAATTATTGTTATATCCCAATAGTTAAGTCTTAGCATTTGTTTAACAATACAAGAATAATATCTATATTGGCCATTGATATTACAACTGAAGTAATAGTTGTAATCATAAATTGATTATCATTTAAACAATACTATACCCTATATCATCAATATGTTACCAATACGAATGACAATACAATGGTTTTACAATACTCTATGATACGACATTATTATAACAATTATATTGATCCCTCATAAATATAGGTTCCGAATACGGATCATATTTATCATATCAAATAATAATATACAAATATATATATATATACAGTCTTACGACCTTGAGATGGGCCATCACTATCATTTCATATATCAATCTGTATCATATGTCATATTATATTTTCGGATTTTCCGTGAAATAAACCATCTATTTTGGGGGTATTCCCATTTATCGAGCCACCCCGAAATATATACCCTGCTTCTCCAAGGCCAAGAGCAAGACGACCCTCCTGAACTGCTGCGTAGAGGTCACAACAGGTCAGCCATCACGAGGTGCAGGTTTTTAACCAGGGAAACAACTCACCAAAAAGGTGATAGATTAAGGGTGTAACCTATAGTTCTAAAAAGTGATGGGTTTTAATAGGATTAAGGGGTAAAAACATGATAAACAATTGTATTTTGAGTGATTTTCAATACTTTGATCAATGAAGATTTGAGAAAAATTGACCAACATCAGCCAGCAAAACTGGGTATTTCAACGAAAATTGCTAGGTCCCAGGTTGCAATTTTCACTGATCATTGATATCCCAGCCAGTTGTTCAAAATTACTTGAGTTATCTAACCAACAATGAACTTTTTTTCGCTTGGGATTCAAACGGTTCCATCACTTGGGATTCAGATGGTGACCCTTGGTGAAAAACCACCAGTCACAACATATTTTATTCCAAGTTCTGTTGACCAAAATAGATCCATTAATAACAGCTGCTATACAAAGTCAAGGACACATGTAAAAAAATGATTGTTTCAAATACTTATCAATTCTAAATGTGATATACTTATCAAATCTAGATGTGATATACCATGATATACCCCAAAAACCAAACACATTGGATTTATTCAGCCTTGTCTCCTGCAGACACCTGGCGTCAATAAGTAACAAAGGGTCACAGGGAAGAGACCTGTGGCACTTCGAAGGTCAAAAAGCTGCAGGGTGTCGCTTGGGTTCATAGTTGAATACCTACCTTCCCGTTTCATCATGTGTCTGTCTGAAAATGGAGGGAATAGATGGGAAGACGATGATGAACTTCATCGAATTTGGGGGTATGATATTTTCAATCACCAGGTGTGGATTCCAAGATGGAGAAGAATTACCCTCTGGTAAAAAAGAAAAAACTATGGAAAATCACCATTTTCAATGGGTAAATCCACTATTTCTATGGCCATTTTCAATAGCTATGTTAAATTACCAGAGGGTATCCAGTGTTGTGGCAATTTGAAGTTGGAGAATGATGATCAAGCACAAGAGTTCGTGGCGTCGTATCCTATAAACCGCCATGGCATGCCATGGCAACTGGGAACTGCCTCCTCCTGGGGAAAGCATCGATCAGACAATAGATATAAACTAGGTCAATCTTACATGGATACTTTAATCCTTTAGTCTTTTGGTATTAATGGGAATATCTACGTTCACCAGCAAAGAATTTGTCATTTTTTGCAGGGTATCTAAGATTGGCAATGTAAACAGACAATTACCATTTGCCCTGTTTGATTCCGGGAGGCGGTTCCCGGCATCAGTTTGGATGACCCTCTTGGTGATCCGTATGGTGGTGAAAACACGCTTTGGACGACAGCTGGTGGTTTGAACTACTCCTAAATCTATGCCCAGAAACGGAGATTGTCGTTCAACATTATATATATATATGGCATTTGCTGTTTTATGAGCGACCTATTTATTTGTCAAACCCCGTTGCTTGATACTTGAGATTCCAAAGAAAAGTGTTTGGTGTCATATCCTCATTGACAACAGCTCTCTGCTGATGTTCATCAGATTTTATGTCGTGCCTTTATGGTCTGTGATATTTTGGCTGCAGAAGTGAGCTGGCAGCGTGGAAGGGATCGCGCTTGGTTTCAGTTCGGTTCGCCGTTTTGTGGTGTTCGAACATGGCGCGAACGACTGCCTGAGCGAGACGCAAGTTACCCCACAGGCTGCCCGGGTGGGACATGGTGGGTTAAGGCTCCGTGGCACACAGCTATCCATGTCACGTAGCACATGGCATTGGGGAGCTTATGGAAGGCTTCCATGAAATTCTGCAGAATATATAGTAGCCCACTCCTTGGAGATAATCATCCGAGATTATTTGATTTCAAGCATGGCTGGTGACCACTTGAATCATTGCAACAGTAGGCTCTTTTTACGCACTTTCTTGGATTGGTTTACGAGAAAATCTTAACCGGAAACCATCGATTTTCCCATGAAATATGGGCTTTTCCTCTAAACTTTCCCGTGACAACCAATCCATTGGCGTGGCTTTCCAGCGTGGCATGGCCCCCAGGTGATGGACGCCCTGTGGGCCGCGTTCCAGGCAGCCAAACACAAAAAGCAATGGGCCACAGCTGTGCCGAGGACGCAGTGGGGGGTTCAACCCATATGGCCACCAGGGGTCCTAAACATGGCATGGGCGCATTTAAGCAACAAAGTTATGGTGGTTAATGATTAAATAATCCTGGTAATAACGCTTAAATACCATTCTATAAACAAATAATGGCTAATAATGGTTATATAATCATGGCTAATAGCATTTCACGGGGATACCATGGCGTTGGCGGTATATTGGGATGCACAAGCAGGGGGCAATGTCATTGGCAATACCGGGCCGATGCAACCATCAAAAACATGGTTTTTTACGTTTTTGATGTGGATGAATCAACTTAAACATGGACTGAGACTCCTTCTGACATAATTGCAAGTTCAATGCTTTGACCCGTATGTGGTTATGGCGAGACTATACTGGTGGATATTCGGCCCTCTGGGGAATGAGTGAAGAAGGCCGGGAAATTACATTTTTACATACATCAAGTAATATAGAGCATGCAAATCAGAGAAATAACATATATGTAAAAAGATAATTAGAACGTTTAGTTCGAAAACTTCCGAGTTACGGACGATTCTCATGGTTAGCATTCCCATCAACATGTCAACCACATCATCATGTCAACCATTGATCATGAAGTAGTTGGGAAGTGTAACATTTCGGCCGAACATGAATTTGTAGGTGAAAACACTCTCGGGCGCGAAACCCGGTGTTTTTTGTGTGCTTTTCAGGGTAACGTAGTCCTGATATAATGGCCTGCATTTTTTGACATAATTATAGCATTATTTTCTTGCAAACAACACGGGGAAGTAAACAGGGGATGAGGTTTCTTGTTCCCTGGTTTTGTCACGAACGGTGCCTCAGACATCCTCAAAGCCAGTCGGGGATTGCGGTTGTACCTAGACATGTTGTCCAATACTGGTTGGTGGTTTGGAACATTTGTTATTTTCCCCAATAGTTGGGATGATCTGACTATTTTTCAGGGGGGCTGAAACCACCAATTAGAATACGTCATGATAAGAATTCCCATCATGGGCTGGATAATGGCTGGATGACCATAAGACATATACCATGTTTTGACCATGACACATATGGGATTTATACACCGCAATTTCACAATTCCAACAATTCGGGCATCTCCTATTTTGAGACAACCCATATTTTGATGGCATTGGGTACGCAGCGCATTGCCCGACCCGTGTCATCAGAAGATGCATTGTGGCAGGGCATGGGGGGGGGACATATACGAATTGCAACAACCATTCAATCGATATTTCCGTGATTTTTTTTTGAGGTAGCTGTAGCCTTCAACATCCTTCAACATGGTATTCTGCACATAAGGAAACCAGACACCTCTCGTGCTTTTATTCATTAACAAATCGTTTGAAACACAAGGTAATTTTGGTTTTGTCCCGTTATTGTGTTCAAATCCTTCGGCCCTAGACCCCAAGTTGGTGTTGAAACGTGTTGAACATCTCCGGCTGAGGTGCATTTATTGGCACAGATGGAAGCACAGCAACGTCGCCCCAATGTGGTCATCTACAGCACGGTGATCAATGCATGCGAGAAGGCTGCCAAGTGGACGCAAGCCTTGTGTTTGCTCACTGCAGCTGGAACGTCTAGCGTTGAAATTGACGTGATTCTCTGCACCGCTGCCATGGGTTTCTGGGTTTCTAGTGAGGGTGGAATCGATTTCTTCCCTTTCCATCCCTTTCCCTTTCTTCGTATCTCGGTTCTGGCGATAGGATTCAGAATACCCAGGCTAGGCGTAGGTTGTTTGGTACCAGCCAGGCTGTTCATGTCTGTTCTCCAGGATGAACCAGCCTGATGGTCCTGTTGGGATGTTTGGGTTCTGACAGTCTGGACTGTGTCTTGGATGGCTAGAAACTATAGCAAACCGAATTGTTGGGAATCCCTTCCTTTTTGACATTACACTGTATTTCTGGAAATTTGGAAAATATTGGGCATGTAATTATGATATGCGCGTTTGTTTGAGGTTGAACATATGTTCGCCACCCACGATACCAACGTATTTTCCCGACCATGCATTCTAGGTGGTTTCCTTCGTCACTGTGCAAGGTTCGTGCGAGAAGGCTAGTGCGTGGCAAGCGGCGCTTTCTCTGTTCGACTCATTGCAAGGCAGGACGTTTGTTGAATCAATGTTTTTGTTGGCAATTCATAGGGGAAAATGGGCGGAGGGTACAACAAATTGGGGATTAAAAGAACAATATGATTGGGAATTAGCTGAATTATCATCACAGCAAAATAATCAGTTGACCTTCTAAAAATGGGGAAAATGATCAACCAATTGCAAAGTTTTTTGCCGAAACATTGGGTTGTGTCAGTAATGATTGTGATGGGGATGTTGAGGTTCCTTACACATCACTGGTTGGTGGTTTGGAACGTGAATTGTATGTTTCCATATATTGGGAATGTCATCCCAACTGACGAGCATTTTTTTTCAGAGGGGTAGGTATACCCCCAACCAGCATCAAGTTCAGGACTGGCGCTACCATCAGGTTGACCACAGATTTTGATCAAAGATCCATGGATATGCTTGGTATCATGCTTTGGTTTGACTGGGGACAGTCTGTATTTTTTTGGGGGGCACCCAAGAACAAGTCCAAAGATGAAGATGTTTACCCTCTGGTAAACTAACATAGCGAGCTGGAAAATCACTATGTTTAATGGGTAAATCAACTATTTCTATGGCCATTTTCAATAGCGAACTGTTAGTTTACCAGAGGGTAATAGAATTTAACAACATAAGATCCTTTAAAGTCATCCAACAGCCACGAAGCTCACTGTGGCCCCCCATCCCCCGATCCCCATCACCAATCCCTCGAGGTCGGTGGTTGCAGCCTGATATCAGGTCCTATGGCCTTGCGCTCCGCGCCTGCCAGACGTCACAGCAGTGGCAGCAGGCGCTGCTGTTGCTGTGGCGTGCAAAAAAAAAAATGTTACAACTGATGCTGGGATGGTTTTGATATGGTTTGAGTGTGTTGAGGATGGTTCAAGTCCGATTTTATACATATATCTATCATTATATACCTAGACCCTCCGTTTGTACCCATAAAAACGGTGTATTTTTACCTCATACTTGATATACTTGTAGCATCTTGTAGCATTTTGCAGGGTATGAATTTTGGAGGCTCTAGATGGATCATGATAGATCATGATAGATCATGATAGATCATGGATCATCAAAACATGATAGATCATCATTAACCCTTAATTTTCATATGGGCTATGGATGCTATGGTCATCCGAAGCGCTGCACAATTTTCGGTTCGGGATGACCTAAGGAATTCGATCGTTTTGAATTCGGCCATCAGTGCAGCTTGGGCGATGACGCCGCGTGTTTCACGCGATGATGTGGCGGACCGGGCATGGAGGGAGGTCGAAATGTTATGAAATCTCCGGATGTAGATAGGATCAGATAAGATGATATGAACTGAGATAGATAACTGTTCTATCTTCGGGAAAGCAATTGGTTTAGAAGGGTATACTTAAGAATGAAGGATTTGGGGCATGGAGGGATGTCGATTTTTGGTGAAGAAGGACAGCCTTTGACCAGCAGAAGACTACGGGTCCAATGGGTACCACGTTTCAGTGGCAAATGTGGCAAGATCGTGTTAGCACCTGAAAGCAGAAGCCGAGAGCCTAGAGGGAACTCACGATTCATATAGTATACCAGTTTGGTGAGAGAAGACGATTCTTGATCCTCAAACTGGCACCGTCTGATTCTTGGTGAAGTTTTTGGGGATCTCAAGGTGTGGGAGTGTCCATGGTGAACCAAAGTATCCATGTTACTTCTGTATCTACTACCCTCTGGTAAATAAACATAGACCCTGAAAATCACCCATCTTTAATGGAAACTAATCTTCCAACCTCGTTTTCTACCAGGGTTCAACTGTTAATTTACTGGAGGGTAAATGGTTTATCCAAAGATTTGCAAAGTATGTATATATATATCAGGATCATCCACTTGTCAGTATGTGAAGCAACATGAACCATGATGATCCATCATGTACCACAGGTCACTGAAACCTAAATTTTAGCATTGATTAGCCAAAATCACCTTAAACCACTCAGTGTTTTACCATGATTGTGTGTAAAAATGGTTATACAGTTATACCTGTATACGACATTATCAACTGGCCATTCTCTCAAAAGGGAAAATGATGATTAAATATGATTCACCAACATGTTTCATGGATTCAATGATGATTCAACAATATTTGTCATGGATTTGATGATGATTCACCAATATGTTTCATGGATTCAGTTTTTTTTAACCCTCTGGTTATTCAACATAGCTATGGAAAATGGCCCATTTATAGATGATTTTCCCATTAAAACCTCCATTTATAAGGGATTTTCCAGTTCGCTATGTTAAATAACCAGAGGGTAACTTTTACATGTTTCCAGGATGGTAGTTCTTACTAAGGCATGTGGAGACGCGGCGCAGTGGCAAAATGCCATGAGGCCAGTGTATACCACCTGGTAAACAAACATAGCTATTGAAAATGGCCATTGAAATAGTTGATTTACCCATTAAAAATGCTGATTTTCCATAGTTTTTTGTATGTTTACCAGAGGGTATACCCTCTGGTAATTTGTTACAGATTGCCATTGGAAAGTGATTCAATGATATTTTATGGTGATACATAGGTATTGAACCAAGAAAAATGGGGGATATTAATGAAATATATTCTGCTAATTTGTTACATAGCTATACAACATGGCCCATAGAAATAGTTGATTTACCTATGAATAAATAGTGATTTTCCAGTTGGCTATGTTAGTTTACCAGAGGGTATCCGCAGATATCTTGAGGATAACATCCTTTAACCATGGATATTTCATGGGACATTAGATTAAACGTATGTATATCCAACTCGATCCGATATTTGTGTGTGTGTGTTTGAAAACGTGTTTTCCATAGAAACCATGTTATTTTGCTACGGAAGATTGTGAGAAACCCTTGGATTTTTGGGTACCGTGTGTTCACACCAGACCCAAGTGAGCAGTTTCAAATCAGATTTTACCCGTTCATACGGCTGGGATGATGGGAGAAGTGTGCTGTCATTTGTGTTTCTGGATTTCTGGCTGAAACTCTCCCAACAAAAAAGTACAAAAAAAGAAAATGCCTCTAATATCAGATACCCCGTATGGGCCCGAAATTTTCAGAAATCAAGATTCAAACCAGGCGTTCTAGGGATGTTTTCTATGTGAACGGGGAAGGCATGTTCCGGACTGTGGCAAACTTAAGGATGGTTTCGGCCATGTTTTTGGGATCGTCATCAGCTCTTTCTGGCCTCCCCAATTGGCCCTGCTTGGTGTCTCATCCCACTTAGTAAGTGGGTTATAACCCCAGTTATAAATGGGATAAGTAGGGTTAATCCACTTATAATTGGGGTTATAACCCACTTACTAAGTGGGATGAGCCACCAAGTATGGCCTCCCCAATTGGCCCTGGGGTCAGGCTTCTGAACAGCATGGCATCCATGGAAGTGTCAGCGGACAGCATCTCCTACAACGCCGCCATAGCGGCGTGTTCCAGTCTATGGCAGCAGGCACACCCAGCGGATGAGAAGTCGTGAAAGGTGTTGATTCATGTTGATACACTATGGTTTATAGGTGGTAAATCTATAGTTAATGGGCTTATAACCAATTTATTAACCAATAGCTAAGTTGGTGAACATAAAACTATCATAAAACTCAATAACTATCTGGTTGGTGGTTTGGAATATTTATTATGACTTTCCGGAATAATAACCCCAAGTGACTTTCAGATTTTTCAGAGGGGTAGGTATACCACCGACCAGCTATGAGTTGTTCCAAGGTGATGGCAGAAATGAGCTGTTTCATTTTAGTCCATCATGTAGGGACATCTCATAGGAAAATCAACTCAACTTCAGCCAATTTTCGGGGTGTCATCTTTGCCACCAGTTGGTCATCCCCTTTTGAAGGGGAACGTAACGGTTACGCCCGAGAGGTGTTTTCTGGTTTGCGTAACCATACTTGTTGCTGCTTAAATCACATGATTGGAGTAGTTTAATGTTTAGTTGCTGTTGGCAAAAAAATATTGTTTGGTTCCTGCAACTCCCTATATTTTGGCACGTTTTAGCTACGTATGTTCTTCATTCACATTGTCATTGCAGCACTCTCAGCCACATGTGGTCACGGCAGGCCTTGCTGTTGTTCCAGTCAATGGATCAACAGTCCATCATCAAGGACAGCTTCACATTCAGTGCGCTGCGCTATGCTCGGCTCGTGGGTTATTGTGCCACCATACTAATTTGTTGTTGGGTATTGGGTCCTCATCATTTAGTAATTGATTGATTTGGCCGCCACTTGGGAAGTCTCAGGTACTGCCATCATTGCATGCAGCAGAGCCAAGCAATGGCAGATTGTCTCAATGATTTGCGGCGCCAGGTTACCCCCAATCGATGGGATTCTCCGGTGATGCACCAACCATGGGATTCAACAACCCCCTCGCAGGTGACCCCCTTCTTCGAAGGGCTTATGAAGTGTTTAACAACCAAATCCTGTACTCATTTTCTATTAACAATGTATCCTTGGTGCAGTCACCTTTCGCGGCTGTTGGTTGAATCCACGCCATAAATATGTGGTATTAAAGCATTACAAAATAAGGCCCTATTTAGGGGCTAGTTGTAGGCTGAAACTATTTTCCGTGTTCAAAGAAATTCATTTTCCATGAGCATCCCAAAATCTGGCAAGGGTAGCCAACCACAAAATATATAAGCTTCCGTGGTATCCCCAACAGCCGAAAGGTTGTATTTTTACAAATCTTTCTGCAGCGTGCTGCGAAGCAGCCTCGATACACCTCAGCTTGGTTTCCGTGAGTTGAAAGGCCGCGCAGGCCTTCTCCGGAACCTTCTCCGGAACCCTGTTGACCTGACCTTCTCCAGAACCGTCTCCGGAACCCTGTTGAACTTGACCTGGCTCTGCACCAAGCCTCCCAGACCTTCTCCGGAACCTTCTTCGGAACCCTGTTGCACCTGACCTGGCTCTGCACCAAAGCGTCCCGGAACTTCTCCGCCTTCTCCAGAACCCTGTTGAACTTGACCTGGCTTTGCCAAAGCCTCCCACACCTTCTCCTGAACCTTCTCCGAACCCTGTGGAACCTGACCTGGCTCTGCAGCGAAGCCTCCCCAGAACCTGGCTCTGCACCAAAGCCTCCCTGACCTTCTCCGGAACCTTCTCTGGAACCTTCTCCGGAACCAAGGCGTCCTGGAACCTTCTCCGGAACCTTCTCCGGAACCCTGTTGAACTTGACCTGGCTCTGCACCAAAGCCTCCCAGACCTTTTCCGGAACATCGTTGAACCTGACCCGGCGCCTGCACCAGTGCACACCGGAGCTATTCTGGGCTGAAGACCCCATTAGCTTACGCTGTTGGGGAATAAGGCCCTTTTTTTAGGCCTTATTCAGGGACTATTATGGATATTTGATATTATGTGTGACTGAAATTCCTTTTCTATAGACTTTATCCAAGTGCAACACTTTGGCAAGCCACCCAACTTCCTGGCAACGCGGAGCCAGACACCCAAATGTCCTGCATCCTGTAGGACCCTTATAGGACCATCGTTTTTCCCTGTGTTTTTTTCCGTGTTTTTGTTTGGTCCATGTATTGCCCCACACCAAATCAATGTCGAAGTGCCTTACCTGGGTCTTGTTTTGGAATCACAAAGTAGATTTTCCAGACAAAAGGTGCCTCACTTTCACGTACCTATTTTCCAAATAAGGCCAAAATAAGCTAACTGATCCTTATTTGGGGAAAAATAAGGCTCAGTTAGCTCATCTTGATGTTATTTTTTGGTGAGTTACTTTTTGACGTTTATTTGGTGCTTACTATGGCATGATTAAGGCCCCGCCCATTGCAATGTTCCTTATTTATTTGGGGGGCTTGAGTGTCTATGAGCCAGGGGCAGCATCTGAAGTCAGATGGCCTCTAGTGAGTCAGGCTGTTGTGTTCAAGCTTGGTAGCCGTATCGGGGTTCGAGTCCCTGTGGCACCGGCGAGTTGCCTGCTTCTTGCGTGCTTGCTTCTTGCTTTCATATATCAATAGTCAATGTTTGGTATAGTGATACCCGTTAAGGGGGAATAAGAACCAGTGGCAAAACTTCCAGGGTACCTTAGGGCTCTTATTTCAATTAGCTGACAGAAAGGGTTGAATCCAGCAATCCAGCCCCTGAGGTTCTTAATGCAGTAGGTTCTTAAACAGTGGTTTCACTGTACCCCAAGCACCTATCGTTTTTCGATCAAAAAGACACGTAAAATCCTCAGCTGCCCAAGGTTGGCATCCACCGCTCTGCTCAGAGATGGACGCGATCGTGGAATGGTGCGCCCAGATGTTCTCCCGCTTGGGGCAGCCTGGGTTGTTTTCAAGGAGAACTCACCTGCGATGGGCTGTGCTTTGCGTCTTCAAATGTGTGAAAAATGTATCTATATATACCTATTATATATCCACTGGAATATCCTGGAATGATAGAATTCAAGCTTGATCCAACGCCTGAGATGGCCCTAGCACTGGCACAGGTGAACATTGTGACCCTGAATGCAGCCATGGAAGCAGTGACGCGCTTGGATTTTTTCAGGTGGTACTGGACGAGATGAGCCGCGATACAAGTTCTACGCACGGTGGGATTGAAAAGTCAAGAAGATTATGATTATAAGGTTTTGTTCTAATTACTTGCACCATACTGTAGCAGTATCAAGTATATACTGCTTATGGCTGTAGGGATTGAGGTTTTACTACTGTTTGATGCTGTTAAAATGCTTTAAATACTCAGTCCGTTTCCAGTTGTCAATTCTTTGACCATATTTTGGTCGATCTTGGGACCACCTTTGCTGAAAATGCGGTAATTCACGAGTCCCACTATTTCCATAGTTTCCCCCTATGGTTTTCCATGGTAAACTCACCGGGTTGTGAGGTGAGGCGCTGGGAGGAGTCTCTGTCTCTGATCCTAATGGCTTCAGAACTGGCGATTGAAGTGGATCCTGGGTGGGTAGAGTGCCTGGTGGGCTCGAGCCGTTGATGATCAGTAGAGCTAGAATCCCATGCCCATGCCCCGTTCATATGATTAAACACCCCCCTTTCTGTGCTCCCCAAATATGAATCCCCTACTAAACCATGATTTCTTAGGGGTGTGTACTGTAATCATCAGGGGGGAGAGATTGTACTTAGGAAGACCACTTGGTGGGTGTGTGTATATGGGGTTGGGTCGAAACCTTTCATACCACATTTTGAAGAATGAACATCCATTTGAAATACCACCTGTTGCCGGGTTCACCAGGGTACCAGGGTTTTAGCCAATATTCATTTGTATACATTTATTTATAATGTACATTATATACATATATCATCATATGTCCGAATATGTATGTTTAGTTGCATTTATTTATATATAATATATATATATATTATTTATACACGCATGCTATTAAGTTGGTTGCAGGTGGTAACACATTTAAATCATGCGCACGACACGAGTCCCTTTGTGTTTTTTCCGGGACACGGTCAATATTTCATGGATTTTAGGGGCCTTCAGGGTGCCTCCAAATGGCATCAAATTGAGGGTATACCGTATTTTCAGACAAAAAAAACATGCATTTGAGTCATGGGAATTTGATGCCATGAGAGATCGCCAGAGCGACTGTTCAGATTCTGAAAGCCTGCAGGGCAGAATCTGCTGTACCCATGTATGTATGTGTGTATGTATATATATATATATTTGTATATATATTTATCATATCTCTATATATATGTATATACACACACATACAGTGCTCATGATTATTCATGTGCGTTTTTTCCGGCAGCTATTTTCGCATTTACACCATTAACGCATGAATAGCCAGTCGAAATCAGTTGAATACCTTCACCATTGTTTCATCTTTGGATCCAGGGAGTAGCGACATTCGCCACCTTGAGGATCAATTCAGCTATTGCGCGCTGTTGCACGAAGCTGCTTCGCATGGAGCCTGGCGAGAGGCGAAGAATGTGGCGTTCTGGGCACCGCATGGGTTGAAGAATATGAGGACTGTGACCAGAAATCTGGATTTAAGCAACAAACAGGGAGATATAATGGGATATACTAAATGGTATGAATTACCCTCTGGTTGTTTAATATAGCTATGAAAAATCACAATGTTTACTAGGCAAATATCGGCAAATCATCCATACATGTTCCATTTTCCTTGGCTATGTTTAATTACTGGAGTGTATCACATACTATATGCATTTATATATACTCTAATTTCTCGAAAAGAATTTCTCTGAAAAAGCCAGATGAATGAGCGGATTTGGGTACCTCACTTCGGCACAGGCCTTGCATTTTCTCCCACCGTGCCAGAGCGATGGCGCTGTGTATGGCGCAGCTGCCTATGCTTGTCAAGAGAGTGGCGAGTGGCGCGAGACCCTGCGCCTGCTTCGGATGCTCAGAGATTCTTGGCTAAGCCCTATCTCCCTGCAAGCTAGCAGCTAGAATCATAAAATGTAGTTCACGAAACTTGTGGAAATCGGAAACCTAGCCCGTTTGTCATTATGAAGAAACCCGGTTTGCAGCATTCGCAACCAAAGCTTTGGAGGTTGCAGTATCTCCTCACTATTTCTCTGTAGTTAGTATACCCAGTATGCCCCTTGCATCCCTTCACCCTGCACCAAACAGGGTCGAGAAAGGCCGTTTCAAATGGCCAAAAACGCTGCCCTTCCCCATGAAGCTGGACTTTCCATTCTTTCACAGGAGCAGAAGCAGCGCTGCGATACCATTACGTTCAATTCCATCATCAGTGACTGGCCGTTTCAGCGGGCTTTTCAGCTTCCAGATTGGCGATCCAAATTGACAAATGACCCTCCTCTAATCAGACATAGCTTGCTGGAAAATCAAGGGAAATGTGAAACAACACATCACCATTCTTATGGAAAACTAACACAAGTGCTGGAAAATCACCCATTTATACTATTTTATACTCATTCATAGATGATTTTCCCAGCTGTAAACCTTCATTTTGTGCGGGGATTTTCCATGGCGCCGGTGTGGGGCTCTTGGAGCTGGAATCAAAGACTTTGTGCTGTTGGAAGATACGCATGCATCTTACAGGCAGGTCTTACAACTTTAGATACTGTGCATTAAAATGTATTAAAATAAGCTTCGTTGGTATCCCCAACAGCCGCAACGTTTTATGTTTACAAATCTTTCTGAAGCGTGCTGCGAAGCCAAACGCTGGAACCTTCTCCGGAACCCTGTTGTACCTGACCTGGCTGCACCAAAGCCTCCCCGACCTTCTCCGGAACCTTCTCCGGAACCCGACCTGCCTTTGCACCAAAGCCTCCCGGAACCTTCTCCGCAACCTTCTCCGGAACCTTCTCCAGAACCCTGTTTAACTTGACCGGCTCTGCACCAAAGCCTCCCAGACCTTCCCCGGAACCTTCTTCGGAACTCTGTTGAACTTGACCTGGCTTAACTGGCTTTGCACCAAGCCTCCCCGACCTTCTCCGGAACCTTCTCCGGAACCCTGTTGAACCTGACCTGGCTCTGCACCAAAGCTTCCCAGACCTTCTCGGAACCTTCTCCGGAACCCTGTTGAACAAGCCTCCCAGGACTTCTCCGGAACCTTCTCCGGAACCCTGTTGAACCTGACCTGGCTCTGCACCAAAGCCTCCAGACCTTCTTCGAAACCTTCTCCGGAACCCTGTTGAACCTGACCTGGCTCTGCACCAAAGCCTTCCAGACCTTCTCCGGAACCTTCGGAACCTTCTCCAGAACCTCCTTCAACCTGACCCGGGGCCTGCACCAGTGCACACCGGAGCTGCTCTGGGCTGAAGACCCCATTAGCTTACGCTGTTGGGTAATAATAGAAAAGCATGTCATGATCATTGAGCTGGTCCCTATTCATCACCACGATGGTTGATGTTTTTTCTGGCACATGGGTTCTGAACCACTGAACCATGAGGTGCTGGTGATCAAGCTCTCGAATGGCTGCAGTCGATTCACTTTTTGCACTATTGCCACATGACGGGCTTATCAGGTGGGCCTGCCATCAAAAACACGCTGGACATCTGAGATGGTTCAGCTGAACGATCGTATCCATGGCACAAAGGGAATATCTTAAATACCCTTGGGATACTTGAAATGAATAGGAGCAGTAATATAAAGATCTTTGTTGTAAATATCTAATGAAATGAAGATATTTTCTTATGAAAGATGAAACGATACTTACATCTGCACTTAAAGATGTTAATCTTAGTTTTGGGGTAGTTCATATGGACCAAGACTGACCAGATGACCAGTTTGAGGTTTCTGCAGTCGCGTAGAGGTACTACAGCGTCCTACACGTCTGCAATGAGTTCGTGTGGACAGACCGCTGAGTGGCAGCGGTCGCTAAGATTCCTGCAGGAAATGTACTTGAAGCAGTTGCCATGTCGCTGGGTGACGCAGTGCAGGTTTGGGTCTGGGTCAAAATTGGGTAGTGCCCAACATTTCATTTTTCATAGGGAACAATGATGATTGATTAAGCCTTAATCATCGAATTTGGGAGTTATCATCTAGTTTGAGATATTTTCAGGTTACACTTGGGTCCAAAAATCAAAGTGCTTTGTGCCTTCTCAAAAGGCCAAAATCTACCCATTCTGCAGTTGATCGGATATGTCAGGTCGAAACTGGCCCAGTTTTGGAACATGATGTGAGGTTCCCTATGGTCCCTGTGAAGCTTAGGTCTTGAAACCATCGGCAGCATCCCGTAGATTTGTCACATTGGACATTTCCACCTACTTTTATTTGTTATGGAGATTGGAAATTTATACAGATTTGCCATCAGCGGTGTGTGGAAAATTAGGTGTACAGAAACCATAGGGTGGAAAAGCCTCAAAGTCGACCAATGGTGAATTCCAGCGTCTGAGGTTCCAGCGTGTCTCAGAATGCTGCCATCAGCGGGGCTGAGTGGCTTCAAGCCTTTCTTCTGATGATGGAGTTCGATCACAGGCCGTTTTGGGGGGAGATGGCTCGAATTTTGTTCCGTCACCACAAGTCCTGATCATGAAAGTAATATATCTAAGCCCAGGTCTGGAGTACGATGAAAACATGGTATGCGAAGATTTTCTGAATATGGGCATCTAGGTTCCAGAAAGTTGGAAAGAACCAGGACTGAGAACTTGGAGACGCCTAAGTTTAGTACTAGAAGCCTCAACGGGTGTGATGGAAGGAAATGAGTTGAAGTGGGCACCGGGTATCATCCAAACCCCTTGGTTTATCGACGCAATGTTCAGCGCTTTCGCCCACGTTTTCATGTCACAATATCTTAATTTCATATATACATATTCCCATCATTTGAAGCATGATACTGTACACTTGGAATACAATCCAAAAACAAAAACCGTTCCTGAAGGGGGAAATAGCATTTAAAAAAATGCTGTGTTTTCCATGTGTCTCCCATTCTTCAGAGGGCTTGGTCGTGGCCACTGTCCTCCAGGTATTTGCAAAGAGATGCATTTTCCTACAGCGCCAGCATCAGCAGTTGTCGCTGCCATTGGATTCCGGCATTGGACCTGCTTTTCGAAGCTCGAATCGAGAGTTCCTCCATGACTCAGGCTGAAAGTGGTTGGGGTTTTGTGAATTTTTAGCCACCAAACAGATGGGAATATAGTTCATTTTTTATTTTCCATAATATATGGGATAATCCTTATAATCCTTCCCATTGACTTTCATATTTTTCAAGATGGTTAAAACCACCAACCAGTTCATATTTGCTCATTTCTTTTGAAGCTCTTCCTTTGGGGCACAATTTTTACAGCCGACGGAGATGGGAACAAGAGAGTGAATTGTTGGATGTTGGGCAAGTCTTTTTGCACGGCTTGGAGGTGTTTTGACTTGGACCCAGCCGAAGGCTCTCTGTTCCGTTTCTCCAGTCTCCAGTCCATTTGGTCTCGCACGCAACAGATAGCCTGCACATGGCTGCACCTGCTGTCGCACAAGCAAAAAGTGAATTTTGAGCCTCAAGTACAAAATCTGCAATGCAGCATGTGAGATAATATATTAATAGCCCCGAAAAACGATCCTTGGACTTGGAATGAATTTGCATCTTATCAAGATAACCCCACATACTGGAAGATAATATGTGAAAAATCTACACATGATTATACACATTATATTGAAACACATTTTCTCGCACTTGAACTGGAGGCATTGCCATGTTGATACTCTATCCTTGTTTTAATCATTTTCTCTGGGTCTGCAATTTTGAATACGTGGTATATGAGATCCTGATACCCATTAAATCATACACACTTAATAAGGTTTATCATTTTCCGTATTAAAACTCAATTGGGGTATTGTACTTTAATAATCCCCATTTTCAGACACCCATTTCCTAATGCCCAAAGCGAGACCCCTGAGGAAGCTGAGAGGACGCAGATTAAACCGACGCTCGAACATCATCTGAGCAGTGGCTGCGAGACTCCCCGATTGGTTGATGATGATTAAGCAATTTTAAGCATCAAAATATGGATATATATATAACATTATATAACTGAATATAACTGATAAATTCCGGTTTGTTGATGATCACCCAATACATTTGGGATTACTGTATCACACATCTGGATTTTTGTTGGAGCTTGTTGCCACTTGGCGGCGATCGGTTCCAGAGTTCCAGGAACTGCATCATGTACAACGCTTGCATCAGTGCCTGCGAAGAAGCGGGTGAATGGCAACAAGTTTTGGAGCTTCTACTGGATGCCCAGGACGCTGCGGTGCGGTGCTAATGGGACAGGATGCTGAACAAAGCGAGCAAAGTGAGAAGATATCAACGATGATGGCTGATGGTGATTGATAATGTAGAGTATTAAGGAAACTAGTTAGTTAATGTGAAAAACCTAATAATAAACCATAATAAAGCATAACAAATCATTATAAACCGACCATTTGGCGATGGTATGTTGCACCCATAAAGGTAGTGATTTGGGGGATGGTTGATTATTGGGTTTACCTCACTAAACCAATAATAAACCGTCCCACTATTACCAGAAATGGGTTGTACAAAGCAGCCTCAAGTGGAGCTGTTTTGTTTGGTCGCCAGCCGTGCAGGAGAGGCAACTTGAGCTGGACGTATCTCGGGCGTTGATGGCATCCCAAACCTTGGGTAGAAACTAGTCCTACAGTTTTTTCCTACGTTGGGTGTTGCCCCAGTTCGTCAGCTAAGTTGGTGCCAATAACTCCAATCACTATGGTTTATGGTAGATATATCTATACTTACTACGGTTGTAAACCAACTTATAACTTGGGGGGCACCACCTTGTATGGAAAATAACAAGCCAACCAGGTATACTCAGCAGAGCAAAGGATTTTTTCTGGACTACCAAAGATTGACCATGTGGATCACTTTTGTTCATGTTTCAGAATTGCCACCCCTCCAACTAGCATTGACCCATTTTGAGAGGCATTAGTCTTTCACTCTCATGTTTTGCAGGGTATGCTTTTTGCTAAGAAGTTCAAACATTGATAAATCGAATTTCATAATCTCATGTTTTTGCATCGTGCATTTCAGGCAATTACATTTAATGCTGCAATTAGTGCATGTGCCAAAGGGGAACGAAACCGGCAATATTCTACAAAGGAAAACATATAATTATTCAAATTTCTTAATGTAAAAAAAAGGATTTATAAAACCATCCTTATAATTCCTTATATATATATATATGGTATTATAAAATTTATTTTTATTTGTATAAAACATAGTATTAGATTGATAAATAAAATAATTCAAAATTAAATTCGTATAATTAGATAATATTTATTACGAATTATTTTAATATATATATATAAATATTATATATATATATTAAATATATAAAATTATTTTTTTTTGATATAATAATTATTGATTATTGCATTTTAAAAATAATAATTAATAATATTAATTTAAAAAATATTGTTATTATTATGTATATATATATAATTTATATATAATATTTGGATAATTTTATAATTAAATAAGAATAATATTATATATTTGTTATTATTAAATAATAATATTATTATATATTTTTTTTTTTAGAAATTGAAAATTATAAATATAAATAATATTATATATTTGTATATTAAATTTTTGATGTATTTGATAATTAATTATATAATTTAGATATTATTATTTAATATGTAATTTTATTAAATATTATAAATAAATATGGATATAATTTATAAATTTGAAATTTTTAAATAAATATAATTTATATATATTTAGGTTTATATATTTTAAAAATATAATAATATAA